AGTGTAACGAAAAATAACAAACGATTCTAGATCTATTAAGGAAATAAGTTTATTAATCAGAATTTAACATTACGTTTATGAGCAAGAATTTCTTAAAAATATCCTAATTGTGAGATAAATTGTACTTCACTCACCGCACTCGCATTCATACACAGAACGTCGACCAATCCCAGGATACTTGGATCAAAATCAGGCGCGGACTGACCCAAATTGAAAAATACCTTTACTGCAAAAACCTCAAATATCACCTAATATCGACTCTCAGTGCTGACCACCACTTTCATACTCCTCAACAGAACACGCTGATTTAAGTTACATCTTTTGATCGTTTGATTATTATCGAAGTTCTCCGATCCATACAATTCATAACATCCTATTATTGTGCAATCTACAATTGTGATGAGATTTGAGGATTAGAATTTCTGTTCGAAAAATATTCAATAAAAGCTATCTTCGTTAAACATTCTTTACGCTGAGCCTACCTTTATGTTTCCTGGCTATTTGGAATGCACGTTTCAGTGTATCATACGGAATTTCGAACTGAGTGAGTAGAATTTTCGAATTTGCAATTAAGGCTTCCAATTGCTCGGCTCGTGATGGCTTTATTTCCAGATTGGCACCCAATATGACAACAACTGAGTTTTCACCTGGATAGAGTGAGCAGCATTTTTGATGAGTTCAAGTGAGTCATCAAATTGCNTATGACAACAACTGAGTTTTCACCTGGATAGAGTGAGCAGCATTTTTGATGAGTTCAAGTGAGTCATCAAATTGCTCAGAAATTTTCATCTCATTTAGAGTTTTTCGCTCAAATCTCTAATTGACTTTAAAAGCAGTTCTCAGAGAGGATTTGAGTTCGATCAGCGAAAATTTTTCGAACAAGTAACGAACCCTCCTCAGTGACCGTTACCATAGCAGTTGCCGTTCCGGCCGTATCGCTTCGTTCAATATAATCCGTAATCACTCCAGTATTTCGAAGATTTTCAATGTTCAACGGTCCGAACACATCATTGCCAACCTTTAGAAGACAAAACTTTCCAATCACAATCATTCAGTGAAATGTTTTATGCTCATATATCATCTGGAAAGCATTCGTCAATAGCTTTTGCAATAAAATTCATTGATGTGCTGCTAAGGCACTGGAACATAGAATTCCACGATTGCAACCTGTCAATTTAACCATTGTATGTAAGGCAACACAAACCCTTCCAATCATAACAACCCTTCCACCGAGTCTCGCAATTTGCGCTGCTTGATTGGCGCCCCGTCCACCGCAACCAACTTCAAATGAGTTACCTCGTATGCATTCACCAGGACGCGGAAATCGATTCGCATAACTAAAAGTTGAATTTTATAGAACCGTACTGAATCAGAGATTGCTTAAGACTAAGTTTCTTGTGCGGAATATCAATGATAGTATCTATCGGATTATTGCCGATAGGACTGCGGATATGTGAGGAGCTGAGCATTTGCTAACGAAAATATCAATACTTTTCATAGAGATTAGAATGAATTGATGGAATACCT